ATCTTATGCCCAGGTGCGTAGTGCATCTTTGTGACTTGTGTTTGGAGTTGCGTTTTCTGTTCTATACATACAGCCGGAAAGCTCAGGTTACTCGCGGTGCGAATTCATCAACCATTTAATATGTGTCTTGCTGAGGAATTGATCATTAAGGAACGGATATCGACACTTGTTCTGGGTTATCACGCATACTACTTGGACCAAAAATCTCTTGATATGACATCAACAATGTCGTTCACTATTGCACTCCTCTAAGTTATGAACTGCGACTACACTACATTTCATGTCACTTTACGCAGACAGATATTGCTTTGCGATCTCTTTAACCTTGGGCGTTACTTCGTTCAGAATCTGAATGGTCTCATTCTGCAATACGTGTTCAGTACGGAATTAGCTGATGCTGAGGCAACCCACTAACCCAAATACTATCCTCAAATACCTTACCCTCCTTGCTGATAACGAAATCACTCGGTTCCGTGATCCCGTTGTCGGACACGTACGCGCCTCTAGCTTTGTCTATGTCTGCAGGGTTCGGCGGCCCCAGCGCAGCCCAGACGAGTTGGCGCGCTCCCTCCTCTGCGGTCCAGGCAACCAGCTCCAGTTTTTTGCCTTCGTGCTCGATGGACGGGGGCTTGAAGTCTGGGGCGTGTCGCCGCAGCTCGGAGTCGCAGAAGCCGGGGTTTACGGCTGTTGCGATGAGTGGGGAAGCCGGAGGCAAGCGAGCGGTGAGGGCGCGGACGAGGAACACGTCGATGACTATAATATAGTCAGCCTCCTTGTCGGGATAAGCGAGTCGAGTTGAATATACGTTTAGAAACTTGGTATCGTCCATCCATACTAGATAACAGTATATTAGTATCCCGCAGGGTCAAGTAACAATCGAGGTACTCACTCTTTCTCGTCGTTCAGCTTCTTGAGGATACTTGGGCTACTTCTGACATCTTCTTTGATAGCAGCGAAAAAATGGACTTCGCTGGTTACGACCACAAGTCTGGTCTGTACCGAAAAGTCGGACGACGTTTGAAGCAGGCGCGGAAGTAACAGCAGAGCACACAAGGCCGTGGACAAGTCGTTAACATGTAAACTAGTAAAGAACCACCTATAAGTCAGAAGAGGACACTGTTAGAAGGAATTGCCTACGTTGACTCCCATCCTTCCATATCCTCATACTTCCTAGTGGCGATGCCCGCATTCATGACGAGAATGTCCAGGCGGCCGCCTTCCTTCTCGAACTTGTCGGCAAAGTTGACGACAGAGGAGAAACGGCTCAGGTCAAGGAGCCAGAGCTCCGCATTCTTCAAGCCTGTCGCCTTTTCAACCTCTAGGGGATGGTTAATCTAATTCCGACTGATCGAGACACCTGCTTAAGCGTACCGGCTACGGCTTTCTTGCCCTTTTCCTCATCGCGACACGTGAGGATGACCTTGCTCGCATTCATAGATGCGAAATGCTTAGCCGCTTCTAAACCGATGCCAGTGTTGGCACCGACTACGACGACTGTCTTGCCCGAGAGATTAGCCTTGACTCCGAGTTTCGGTGCTCCAGCAATCTGCCTCTGGATGAGGTCTAGGAGCGCAAGCTTGCCCATGATGTGATTGTGCAGAGACAAAAAACAGCGGAAAAAGTTGCTTCGCTGTGAATTGTCTATTGCCTGCTTTTATAGGGACACTAATGAACTTTGGAGTGCCAGTGATTCGGACGGTGCTCGCGTTCACTAGAGCACTGCCGAGCACAATGTTCGCATACGCGTCCTCGTAGCTTGCGTTTCCCCTCGGCCAGATGTACAAAGGGTCTGCCGGAGTGATGGCGTACTTGCACCCGATATTTTCGGCCGTGTTAAATGGTGCTTGAGTACTGAGTACCAGGACCTGCAGCATTACCCTCGATAGCTTACTACATAGGTCGACGGCCACGCGAGCAGAGCCGGGCAAAGCGCCGGAAAAAGCTGATTGTGGCAGTACCTGACCGGGGTCAGCTTGGTCACGTGAAGCAATGATGCAAATTCAATGACAGTGGTGCCACAAAAGTATTCTACGTGTATGTGTGCATGTTCTGGAGGATAAGGAGCTGACATGCAGAACAACAGAGATAATTTAAGCATAGCGAAGAGTGCGTCGCACTTCCAAGACTTGTCCACTTGTTAGTATTAACGAATTGGGCTAACTACAGCACCCTGGGCCTGAGGAGCGTCATAGTGTGGCAACCTGTGGATCTTGAACTCGTGCTGGGTGAACCAAGGCAGTGTCTACAAGGACTACAATATCATCCTTATTTACCCCAACCACAAGGCCGTACGATTTTGAGTTGGTGCAAATGTATCAAACATTTGCGTTAGATCCGCCGGGATTCCAGGATCAACTCCATGGATCTGCAATCCAGTCCGCAAGCACCGGAAGACTTGTGATTTTACTAGCACCAGCAAAAAGGTCATTACTCTCAACGTCATTATTTTTTCCTGCCATTCCCAGTTCATCCAGAACTGTGGCCTCGGCAAGGGCCATCGCTGCAGCCGTCTAAAATTTATTTGGAGATGACGTTGTGGTACTTTGGAGGCTTTAAATTGTCTTAAATTGTCTTGATTAATAAAAGGTATACGTAGTCCATCTTTGAGTGCTGCCCTGCCATGCCTCGTGCATTGTGTTCCCGGCTGCGTCTGCTATTGGATATAAACAGCTGGAAAGCTCAGAGCCTCAGCCTATTCGCACCACGAATATAACAACCGCTTAATTAGGTTCTACTGCTGAGGTTCACAATTGGATATTGACGTTTGTTCCGGGCTGTCATTCAGACCGCTCGCAATAATAATGTATTCATAGGTAATCGATGATATCGTTTGCCATTCCACTTCTCTCAGCTATCAGCTGCGGCTACGCTATCAACTTCACCTCATGCAGACAGATATTGCTTAACAATCTGTTTGACCTTAGGTGTTGCCTCGTTCAGAATATCTATGGTCTCATCCTGCAGTATGGATTTAGTATAGAAACAGTTTGTACTCTGGTAACCCACTTACCCAAATACGATCCTCACATTCCTTACCCTCCTTGCTGATAACGAAGTCACTCGGTTCCGTGATCTCGTTGTCGGATACGTACGCGCCTCTAACTTTGTCCACGTCCGCAGGATTCGGCGGCCCGAGTGCAGCCCAGACGAGTTGACGTGCTCCCTCCTCCGCGGTCCAGGGGACTTGTTCGAGTATCTTACCCTCGTGCTCGACGGATGGGGGCTTGTAACCAGGCGGTGTGTGTCGCTGCAGCTCGGAGACGCAATATCCCGGATTAACGACTGTTGCAATGAGTGGGGAGGTTGAAGGCAAGCGAGCTGTGATGGCACGGACGAAAAATACATTGAGGACTATAATATGGTCAGCCTATTTGTCAGAATAAACGAGTCAAGTTGAACACACGCTTAGATACTCCGTATCGTCCATCCATACTAGATAACAATATGCATACAGTTAATATTCCGCAGGATCAAGTGACAATTTGGATACTCACTTTGTCTCCTTGTCGTTCAGCTTCTTGAGGATGCTTGGGCTACTTCTGGTATCTTCCTTGATAAGAGTCATAAAGTGGGCCCCGCTGGACACGACCACAAGTCTGGTCTGTACCGAAAAGTCGGACGACGTTTGAAGCATGCGCGGAAGTAACAGCAAAGCGCACAAGGCCGTGGACAAGTCGTTAACATGTAAACTAGTAAAGACAACACCTATAAATCAGAAGAGGACACTGTTAGAAGGAATTGCCTACGTTGACTCCCATCCTTCCATATCCTCATACTTCCTAGTGGCGATGCCCGCATTCATGACGAGAATGTCCAGGCGGCCACCTTCCTTCTCGAACTTGTCGGCAAAGTTGACGACAGAGGAGAAACGGCTCAGGTCAAGGAGCCAGAGCTCCGCATTCTTCAAGCCTGTCGCCTTCTCGACCTCTATGGGATGCTCAGTCCGATCCTGATTGATCAATGCAATGCCTCGGACGTACCGACCACAGCTTTCTTGCCCTTCTCCTCATTGCGACACGCGAGGATGACCTTGCTCGCATTCATAGATGCGAAATGCTTTGCCGCTTCTAAACCGATGCCAGTGTTGGCACCGACTACGACGACTGTCTTCCCCGAGAGGTCAGCCTTGACTCCGAGCTTGGGTGCTCCGGCACGCTGCTTCAGGATTAATTCTAGGAGCGTAAGGCGACCCATAATGTGGTTGCGCAGAGACGAAAGATGTCAGAAGAAATTAGTTCACTGTAGATCGTCTATTGCCTGCTTTTATAGGAACACTAGTGGACTTGCACACAAAGTAGGTCTAGTCCTCATTTACTCCCTCGGAAAGGGTCTGCCGCGCATGCCTTGTGAACGCGTAGCCCGCACCGATATTTTGGTCACGTACTTCAGCACCTGAGAAACTACGCTCAATAGTTTACAGCCCGCGTGATCGACTGTCAGTCTGTTCCGAGGGGGTACGTCGCCCGGCATTCTTGACAAGCACTTGAGAGCGCCTGCGTTCCCGGAGACTAAAAATTTGCGACCCAAAGTCTTGTCTGACTTGTGAACAGGAATACCCAGGCTGGATGGTGCAAGACCGTGAACGAGCAGGCGACCATTCAAGACTTCAAGTTGACGCTCGACGGCGTTAACGAATGCTGTGGCGTGGGCTGACATGTCACATTCCCGTAGCACGAGGTCTATGGGCGGACAAGCATCACGGACACAATTCAGGCTATCGGCTCTTTTGGGATCTGCGGATGCGGAGTGTTATTCATAAAAAAATTGAGGACGAGACGGAGCTGTCATCTTCAATAGTATGAAATATGCTAACATTCACAAATTAATACAGTACTTACTTCTCCATGAAAGCTCGGGTGAGAATGTTTTACAATGATTTCCAGACCATGCTTGCCAGTAAACCAGACAGCAGGAGCCTGAGGATTATCATAGTCACAAAAAAATACAGACAAATTCCGAATTCTCTTGGTGAAATGTTAGAGCAATGCACTCAGTTTTATGGCAACGTAGCCAAGTGGTTACGGCGTCACGTTTAGGTCTTTCGAGGCATACCGTGATGGGTCTTCCCGCGCGAGTTCGAATCTCGTCGTTGTCATTTTCCACAGATCCAATATTGTTTTCATTTTTCTGCTTCGCCAAATTACGAGATGCTGATCGCATTATGTGTAATGTGAGAGCACTGATGCATTCTAATGTTTGCCACATTTTCATATACCCTTAGACAATCCAATGCTATACAAAATGTGCTTACATTCAATCCGTAATGTACTAGTACGAGGTCTTTCGTTATGCAGACCGATATCTCACACTTCATTATATGGCACCTTATAAGCTTCTTATTCATTGAAGAATTCCAAAGGTGTCTCGGCGGTTTGAACAGCGCGCCAAGTCGTGGGATGACCGTCAGCGTTCTTGTTCCCTTCATCGGTAAAGAGAGAGTGGAACATAATGTCATCAGTACCCTGGACCGAGCTTCAGTCATAACCACGATGAGGAGGATTCATTCTTACCCTGTTCGGAGGGTCGTGTATTCTATCCGATCTCTATTAATATCGATGATCATCAAAGCGATCCATCACTGACCTAACATGGACGAATCCCTCGCCTTCATCATCCTTCACGGCGGGAAGTCTTATCTTTCCGAGGATAACCGTGCCGTACGATGTTGGCGCGCTGCGGCATTGCACCAGGTCGTTCTCGACAGTGAAGTCGACGAGGTCGGTGTCTGAGATGCCTGCCGCGCGCGACCACATTTTGAGCTCGTGCTTGTTCCAGTGGTGACGTGACTTGATAATCTCTGACTTGATAGTTGAGACTATGTGATTGAAAGCCTCGATGGCTTTCGGGGTAGGGGTATGGGGGCCGTTCAGCACGATCTCTTCAGCTGAAGCTGCGGGGAATGGGCAACAGACCTATAAGACCCATTCAGCGAGTATTGTATCAATGGATTCACTCACCCATGATCGGCGGAAGTTCGTGATAGGAACAAGAAATGAAGCAGATAGCGAGCTGTGGCGTCGAGATCAATGTGGCGGCAATATCCGACGCTGCCACCACTAGCCAGAGTAAATGAAGTATTGCAACTGTCTATTTAGTGTCTTCGTCCTTTATTGTCTACTACGCGCTCGGAAGTTACAATCCCGCTAGATGTTTAAACGTTTACTCCTTGGAATCCTCGGACATACAGTTCAGGATGTCTGTAAGACTTGGACGTAGCCTTACTACATGGTAAGTCCACGTGATAAAATAGAAACTCAAGAACCAGAACAAGCTTGATTCCTAAGGCCTGAGGGGTAACAAAAATAACTGCTCTGAGTACATGCGAACCTTTATATCTTCTGGCCATGTGTTAGGATAATCGATAAGGAGGTGTATCGTATACTTCAGGTAAGAATAACCGAATAAACCTGAAACGAATCTGAATTGGGAAGTATTGGGTCGTCGTAAGAGTCATCATACACACCGGTTTATCCGTCGAAGGCCACAGTCCACGTCGTTTCCGGCCTCGACATATAGCCATCATGCAAGACCATCACGTATGCCCCGTAGTTCCATGTGCTCCCCTAAGGTCCGGAGGCTTCCCTCCAGCTGCTCCGCCTTCTGTCAACCACATAGCGCAAGCCGTCTTGATCGTGGCCGCCATGTATAAATTTCTGTCGGGTCACGATTGACTTTCCCCCCCTTTGGACTAGCCAGTACTATGCTACCTGCCTTGGCTTCGAGTCTGACGCTTCTTACGGTCTGTGCAAGCGTACATAGCCAAGAAGTGTCCCACAGTCCTCACAGGGTGCAATTGACGGCTCGCAAGGCCTCTCATGACTCTCCTTTGAGGCGTCGGGCGTTGTCAGCCGCGAACATCCCTCTGAATGACTTCTACAAGGGCACTGATCTGCAGTACGTCGATGGATTGTCCAAGTTATCTATGGTCGCTGATCGTTCGCTTAGGTGGTACGGCAACATCTCTGGTACGTGCTTCCTGGAACTCGGTTTGGTGATAAGATCTCGGTCAAATTGTCTTTTCAGTTGGCACACCAGGGCAGACGATATCAGTTCGTACTGATAACTTTCATCTTCTTTCCGATCCACTTATACAAAGTTTCATAGGTGGTGTTCGACACGGGCAGTTCCACCCTTGAGTTCCCTAGTGCGAAATTACCGTTTCTATTTATATCGCAACTGTTCTGATGATTCGAAGGCACCGCGTGCGGCGACTCGTGCAGGAATCAGCATAAATTCGACACTGCGAAAAGCTCTACGTTCGTCGACACTGGGTATACCACTACGCTCACCTTCGCTACAGGCGTTGGCGTCGACCCGGTGCAGGGCGATAATTATCAGCTTCAACTACGCAGTGGCCATGACACTGTGACTGTTGGTGGTCTGGTCGCGAAGAAGACGGATTTATATGTCATTACCGATCAGACGGAAACGTTTGCTATCGATCCCTTCGATGGCATTCAAGGTACGTCAACATTTATTGAAATCTGCAGTAGTACGGAGCTAATTTCAAGTCTGCTGCAGGAATGAGTGCTACCGCTCAGGGTTTCTTTGCTGGTCTAATCAACCAAGGCTTGCCCTGTAAGTAACAGCCTCTTTGGCGATCTTGATAGGGTCCTGACCTTCGTGGCTCAGCTGTGTTCGGCTTGTACCTCACTCCCAACGCAATTGGCAATGCCGAGCTCACCATCGGCGGTATCGACACGACAAAGTTCACAGGTGGGTTCCGGCTCCGAATATGCCTTCTCGACATCATAACCACACCTTATGCATGAATCTCAGGTTCCGTGTCGTATGCCTCTCTTCCCAGCGACTCCGGGGACACGTGGCAATTGTCCTCGCCTCAGATATCCGTGAACGGCAAGACGACGAGCACGCTGAAGCGAACACGCACGATCATCTTTGACAGCGGTACCAGCAATGTCTTATTTCCCACGTCGACTGCAGAGGCGAATATTTCCCGAACTGTTATCTCCGTCCACTGAGTCTGATTGATGTTTTCATTTTCCAGGCCATATACGCTCTCATCTCGCCCGACATCCAGCCCTTTGATGACGAGCCTGGCACCTATGGCATTGCGTGTAGCAAGATCCAGTCCCTGCCCGCCGTCATCGACCTGACGTTCACGTCCTCATCCGGCAAGGTGTTCAACCTCACGATCCCCAGCAGTGAGCTCAGCGTCGGGCCATTTGCCAGTGACTCGTCCACCTGTCAGACTCTCATCAATGCGTATGACGGGTACGACCTCGTCGGCGGAAGTGTGTTAAAGCACTACTACAGTATCTGGGATATTGGCAATCAGCGCATGGGCTTTGCGTCCAACCGTAAGATTACTGATACTTCCGCGTGTTCGTCAGGGATCTAATGTGAGCGTTTGTTTCACACGTTTAATAGGTCACTAGGAGCGTCGCTGCCTTGGAGCACCCAAGAGGACTTCTGATTCTTGAGATCTCCCGCGCCATGTTCTACCAGGAATGTGATCTTCCTTGCTGCATCCGCCTCAGCAGAATAAAAGAATTTTAACGCTTGAATTGATAAAATGCTTCCGTGATTCTTCGGATAATCGTGAGTGCGCACACGTGCAGCGACGATGTCTTCTCAGTTCCCGCTCGTGCTTCGCGGAGATGAATATTTGTCTTGCAACCGGCTGTATCTGGCGTGAAAGCTGCGGAAGCATCCGTCAAACGCACATAGTAAGTACTTCATGGATCATGGCGGCCCTGCATGATCGACTCATTTGAGCAGCTTTGTGTTTCATCGAGACGAGGGGCCCGTGCTGTTTGGATCTACTACTAGCTATTGCGCTCCCCAGTTTCAAGGACAACGGGCAGATTAACGCGAATTCAGGCTTGCTCATGGACATCAGATGCAAATATTAGACTGACAATTTGAAACAAACTAAGAAAGCAATGTTAGAGCATCTCGACTATGTATGAACTGGTACATATGCAGGAATTAGATATTAGGTATATAGAGGCGGGCTGCCCACCGCCAGGCTAGTGGCAGTCCAAGCCCTGCGGATTCTTGAGAGTTAGTGTTACATTTTACGATAGATACTCTTCGTTTCACAAGATCAATACGTCTAGATTGAGGTCCCGCATGGTGGACCGCCAGTCTGCGCCCGGGTGGTTTTGGTCGAGCCGTTTCCATACCTACAACATCACATCAGCAACTGCGGCGAACTAGTGTACACCTTGTGTTAGTCCTTACTTCTAACACGATTTGTTCCGAGGTGTCGATTTCGTAGCAGCCTACCATCGTGTCAGCTCCGCGCCTGCACACGACAAATCGGTGAGAATGCTTACATTGACCTCTGCGGAAGAAGCACGCTGCTGTGAGACCCAATTGAACTCCGAAACGAGGCTGGACGACACATACCTGAAAGCCTCGAACAGATCTAGCACTTGACGCCGCGACTCGCCAAAGGCATGTGAAGCCGCTATTATCACCGGCCAGTTTAAGCTGAGCAATGGGCACTCAGAAGAGTGTCAAGGAACACATATACTTGTTAACGCACTCGACACTGAGTTTGTTTTCGGCACAACGAAGGCAAAGCGTCAGGATTGTCTCCACACAGCGTTGCACGATGTGGTCGTCGGGGGAGACTTGACCGACATCTCTCAGTAGAACGATCTAGCAAAAGCATAAGTAAAGACGACTTAGTCTGAAGAGCAGTGGTCCACCTTGGCTGCGTTGACGTATATCATATTGCCCGTTCGTACTCGCGCAGGGATGTCCTCCGCCGGAGGCGCCCAGTTGTCTAGGTCATTGTAGAGAAGCGTGCACTCAGAGGAAGGGTCTGCAGCTGAAGTCACGCTGTCCGGTAGCTCCACAACATGCGCTCTTCCGCTGAGCGCTCGTGCGACGGATGCTACGACCTGCACCTACGAGATGAGAATATGTGAAAGGAGACGGTCGCAGATGCTGACCTGAGCAAGAAGAGGCACGAGCGTTCGAGACATGCCGAACACATTTTCGACGTGCGACTTCGCAACCGTGTCGTCGTGCCTAACATCGTCTTTTAGACTGCTGCATCCTGCGCACAGTAAAGATACAGACCACCAGTCAACCGAGCCATTACCTAAGATAGTTGGTTCT